TGCAGTACTGGCGGTTACGTAAAGCGAATAATGTATCTTTCTCGTCTCCGACGAATAATACACGACAAGGAGACGAAGGATTGAACAGACTAATCGGAAGGAACGTAATAGCACACTCATTTGCAATCGGATATTTGAAAAATAGTCACTGCGTGATAATGTGCAGTGAATATGCAAGTAGAAATTCAATGCTTGGATGTTTGTTATCTTCTCTAAGATACATCAGATACAAAATGTTGCGTAATCTTATCGAAGATGTGTTCAGAATAAGTGCAAACAAAGTTAATCGAGAAACGTCGTCGTAAACTTGTAAACAAAGTATGATACGATAAATCAGAGAAACATAAAAGATCAATCTCGTTTTTAATTTATAAATGAACGAAAATGGAGACGTATTACAATGAACCACAGTAACATAACACAACAATTTCAATTTTAATTTATATTTGAACAGAAATTAATCACGAATTAATACAGCAACCGCTGCAACATAATACACCAATTTCCTTCTCCAATTCTCGTTTAAAAGGTGACATAATCCAATTAAACTGTCATTACAAATTTCAAGTGAAATTAATAAGCTCTTCACCCCCAACCGCGATAAGCTACCGCAAAGTATCGAGCCGGCACACTCAAAATCGAGTCATACGAAAAGATAATATTAAATCCCGCAATATCGATTCGCATCATCGCGTAAAATCAAATTCCTTCGGGACGTAAATCGATTCCGGAATCCGCGTTCCTTATCATTTCGCCCTGGTTCCGTCATCGAAGCGATGCTCGCGCATAATGATAGCGCACGGGATATTTGCATACCGGCGATCCGGAAACACGTGATCAATACGGAGGAAAGAATAATTGTGTGTCAAGCGTCACCGGCGTGTCCCATCGTGCCAAGCGTTCGCTCGCGAGAATCTCGCAGAAGCGTCGAGGCCACTCGTGATCTCGCTGGTGTCGTCATTAACACGGCAAGCACTTCAACGCTTCTTCCGACCGACAAGCCAACCCTGTCGTCCTCCTCTGCGTCGGCCCCGTTCGACTTATCTGCTTTCACGCCCCCGTTATCTGTTCATCGCGCGTCCCCAAACGCGCCGCGAACTTTTATTCGCCGGCTGTTTGTGGGCGGCTGGCTCGTGCTGATTCCTAAACCCCATTGTCCGACAGGACACCCACCACTGAGCCCTTTCGGGCCAGGTACCAGCGTGGCGGAGGGACGGAAGGGCGACAGGTCCGCCGGGAAGAGGCCATACAATGGCCCGTCGACTGCTAGGGCTGTGTCTACAGGGGTGGTCACGCAAAATCTCCGGGTCATAAAGCGGACTTTTGTCGGGCCAGGGAAGCTAGACACCTACCTCCACGGATCCCCTTTCAGGGAGGTGAGAAAATTTCGTCGACAGAGGTAACAGAGATCTTCGCATTGTCCCAGCGAGATTAAGGGCCCTATCAGCCACGCTTGTTTACCGGAGAATCGGAACAGGACTGGGCGGACATTCTTCGAAGTGAGCGAGAGCTGTAACTTTCTTTCGCGGAGGAATGTTTTAACGAATGTTTTGTCGGTTGCGACGAAAGGAAGTTGGGTTCTTTTCTTTGGAACGTAATTCTTCGAATATTGTTTTTTTATAGATATTGGAAGAATGTTTGGACGATAGGTAGTTAATTTGATTAGTAAAGATAATGGTAAGTGTCATCTGTTTTCGTGATCCCTTTGCAGACGTTTGAAATTAATATTGCTTGAGAAATGTTCTTGTAAGCGTCGAAAGAAAAATGTTTACCTTTGCATTATAAATATCAAATGAAACTCATTAGAAAGATTTTCAATGGAAATTGGATACCGTTCTATCGCTGTCAGTATTTAAGATCTTTCTTCTAGCAAATTATTCACGATATAACAGCTTTAATTAGCGCACCCAAGAAAAAATTAATAAGGCAAGGGGTTACTTTCTGTTCAATCACTTTGCGATACCGCGTTAACGTAGTCAAAAGAATACTAAATATTTTCCTAATCGCTGTACCGTAACTCCTAAAATGCATCTATTTTCAGAGGATACGAACAGTTGTACCTTGTAAGTGCCCTATCGGCTTTTATTTACCAGGGAATCGAAATGGGGTCAGAAATCTTTCGGGCAGAAAAACAGGCAACTCTTTCTCTCTCTCTGGGCGATAGTGGACGCGATTGCGGGCGCGGTTTTAAAACAAGAGGAAAGATTAAATCAGTTCGGAATTTATGATGGAAATGGAAATCGAGGTACGCTTCTTTCAACGGAGAAATTGCGGAGAAGAAGACAAAAGTGGTCCGGTCGTTTTACTGGGCAGGAGAGAAAGGGGAGCACTCGATGAAACTAATAATCGACAAACAGAAAAGGTAAACCCGCCCGTCCGTAAGAAGAATATTATCGTCGAGCAAGACGAAACTTTCCGTTTGTTCCGAGCATCGAAGTCGGCCTGGCCGGCTTCCGGTCTCGTTAATAAATCACGGGATTTAGAATAGCAGCTTGCATTGTGCGCGAGGAGATATTCCGCCGAAACGGCGCGCCACGCCGTTATCAACGGGTGACTCCTCGGTTCGTGACACCGAGTTCAAATCCCTTTCAAGCGCGTAATCTCGTTATCGCGAACGTCCTATTATAGTTAATAATCGCGCATACGGCTGCGTTCGCGGTATAAATCACACAATGCCTGGCGATACCGGTTTTCGGTCGAAAATGCGCTCCGCTGACGGTCCCGTATCCCCGGGTACTTGAGTCAACGGAAGAGATCTGGAGGAAAAAAGGGTAGAAAACGAGCCAGCTCTTCGTGGCTTCGCCAGGGTGGTTTCTGCAATGGTAGAGCGGAATCATCGAGAAACAGGGTCCAAACGGCACGTGCATTAGATGTTTGCGCTTTCACGGGTTCTTTCGGAACCCTCCTGGCAAACGAGAAAGCTCTGCGAGCTCTTCCCAGCCGGGGCGGGTATTGTACGTAGCGACGGAGTAGCTCGTAAGTTTCGGCCAAGTTTCTGCCGCGTCAAACAGCAATGGCCCGAAATTCGTACAATACGATTCAAAAGGCATCCGCAACTTTCTTCGGCTATAACTGGAGCGTCGCGCGGCAGCTTCTCGCGATATCCGTGAAAATTCACAGGAAATCCTACCGCGCGAGTTCCGTCAACCTCCCCTCTCGACGCTAAACAGGCAATATTAATTGGAGCGCGGAGTCGCGCGAAAGCAGGAGATACACAGTTTCCGCGGGACGGTGAAATCCGGTTTTCCATTCGACACCCGTTAATCGGCGAGCGAGATTTCGCGTGAAACAAGCCGCGAGAAAAAAAATTCGAATTACAGGTCACGAAAATTGAAATTGATTAATATGCGGTTTGGAGAGCGTTGGATAACGGTCTCGAATCGATAATCATTTGCCCCCTCCGACGACCCCTCACCCCCTCGCCCCACGCCCACGTGTTTAATGGGACCGTAATCAACGAGCGGGTTCTCGCGAAATCGTGCTTTGTCCGACGGATTTCAACCGACATTTTTTTTTCCCTTATTACTTTCGTGTGACGATTCGCGGGGCGTAGGTTGCGCGCGCGCGACCTAAATATCGCGCGAGCTTGGAAAATTGATCATTCATTCCGTGCCCATGCGGGCCGGCTTTCAAATTCTAGTATTCGGTAACCCGAATTTCTCAGTCCGAAATACGCGTCACGAAAACACTCCACGCGAGTGGTGGATCTCGCCATTTTTATCAACGTTTTTTTTTTTACTGAAAACCTTTGTATATATTGAATCGTCGTGCAATCTCATCGGGACTACGCGGATACGGAGGTGGATAATGGATCCATGTACGTTCATCCGATATGCGTCAGGTCCCTTGTCTTATGACATAGAACCAGATCCGCGGTGAAGATTTCAAATTGAATTTGAACTGCTAATCAGTCCAGCTTTTCAATGGAAAAGCATATGTAGATTTAATTAAACACGAATTATAATCATATCGTAATAAATTTAAATGACATGTAGAGGCAGGTAAATTCAATATTAATTACAAATGTATACGTACATGTATAATGCTATTCACTTTTATGAATGTTTAATTGCTAAAGCAATTTTCTCTTGCGCTGAATACAGAATTCGTTTTCTCGCTACGAAATGATCAAAAGCGAAATCGTCCTAGGCCTAGTTAGAAAAGACTCGCAAAACGGAGGTCCAACATTAATCCGAGCTCGGTGAATCGACGCAAACGAATCGCATTCATTAAAACACATGGGCGGACCTCCGGTACGGCACTTGAACCTTCGGCGACCTTAAAAACGGGCCCGCGACGCCCGAAGGTCTCAGGTGCGCCTTCGGCAAGGTAGAATTTCGCTCGTAAAACTTCCGGATGGATTCCTTGAGCCCCGAAAAGTCTCGGGATCGACATTGTGCGGGTCGCGTGCACCGACTGACCTCGTTCCCCCCTCGTTTCAAGAGAGTCACGTGGCCCGTCCGTTAATTTCGCGGCACTCGGACCGCGAACAGGGCCAGACAAAAGCAGGGAAAGAGGAACGCGGTGTCCCGGGCCCGTGGGACGAGACGGGCATGATGATGCGAGGAGCGCACGATTCATCGCGGAGGAAAAAAAAGACGGACGCCAGGTTCCGTCATTGGCAGATTAAAGCGGGGACGGCGAGTCTTTGATCTCCGACAGGACAGGACTCGCAAGAAATAGGAAAGACGAGCGTGAAACGCGAGCGTTCGCCTGGAGTTACAGGGTGGGACGGCGAACTCTCCTGAGAGAGCAGCCAGCGACTCGCTTTTACCCCGTCGACTTTGCGAGTAACGACAATCAACGAGGGAAACGAACGGCAAAAATGAACACGAAGACCCTGGAAGCAAAAGAAACGGAAGGGAACAACAGCGTCGCGAAGATGAAGAACGGCAGGAGCACGCGCTCCTACCCAGCTATAGCGATCGGACCATCCAGCGTTCATCGTCGGTCCAGAGACAAGAAGTACGTTTTACTCTGGTTTTTCTGGTAATACTTACGAAAACGAAGTACGACTGCCTCATGGTCGCCAGGGTGGTCGTCTCCGTGGTACGTCGAGCTAGTTTCCGTTGCAAAAACACCCCCTGCGCTGGAAACGTTACCGAAATCCGCGGTCTGTCGCGACACGCTCGCCGCTACTCTGTTCCCGCGAGCTTTCGTCAAAGATCCTCGACTTGCCGCCGCGTACACACTGCACCGTCCAGGGAAGGGCGCATCGAGGAGAACCAAGGTGCGACCCCTGCTCCGAGACGAATCCACCGGGTCTTTCTCACTTTATCATTTATACCGTCGCTCACACTTTTATCTGCTCTTTTCCCTTCGACTCTTTCTTTCACCCTTCTTCCTCGAGCTGCGGTTCACACATGGCCACTCTCTCGCGAACCGTGTCTGCGCGCGACGACGATTATCAAGTATCGGCTTGTTTTATTATATCTTCTCGTTTTTCGGGATGATGAACGGGATCGGGGAGGGGGAGAAAAGTGAAAGCGGTGCTCGACAGGCGAACCGTCGGAAGCGGTAGGTGTATCGTCACTGTTCGCGCGGATCACACGACCAACTGCGCGGCGGCTGTCGCGATGCGACGTGGTTTTACAGCCGCGGGAGAGGACGTGCGGGCGACAGGGGTTGATCGCGGAAAACACGGGTCGGCCGCGATGCGCGCACGTGACCACGGAT